ATATTTTTTCAATGTGTCTTGGAAAATGTTAAGAAAAACCCAAAGATATTGCTTGAGAATGACATAGCAGAAGGGAACTCTTTAGTGTGCAGTATAGACATCCATATATATCAGAGACAGATTATATATATGTCTCTGTATATATGGATCATAGTTTGCGGACTGGTGTTTGGAGTGGTACCACCTGAAATGTGTTGGCCTCAAAATGCCATCTTAGGCTACATACTGGATGTGTAGGAAATGCCACCAAAATAAAATGCTAAATTAAATCTAAATATAATGAATATGCTTTCAATTTATCATTGCTATGTTCAATGTTTATTGATTGCACAAGGCTCTTTAAATATACACTACAAAAGTACATGGAATATGGGCTTTTTATACGACCGCAAAAAAATTTTGTGGTCGTATATTGGTATGACGTTGGCGTCGTCGTCGTCGTCGTCGTCGTCGTCCGGCGTCGTCGTCGTCGTCGTCCGGCGTCGTCGTCCGAATACACATTGGTTTTCGCACTCTAACTTTAGTTTAAGTGAATGGATCTTTTTGAAATTTGACCATAAGGTTAAATACCACAAAAGGAAGGTTGGGATTGATTTTGGGGGTTATGGTACCAACAGTTAAGGAATTAGGGGCCAAAAAGGGGCCAAAAATAAGCATTTTCTAGTTTCCAGACAATAACTGTGGAACGGTGTATGGATCTCTCTGAAATTATACTACAAGTTTCCATACCACAAAGGGATGGTTAGGATTTGCTTTGGGGGGTTATGGCTCAAACCGTTTAGGAATTAGGGGCAAAAAAGGGGGAAAAACAAGGTTGTCCTGGTTAATGGACAAATACTTTAGTACAAAACATAATTTAAAGCAGTGTAAGGGAGATAAATCAAATACATCATTGAAATTATCTCCCTTACACTGCTTTTAAATTATGTATAAAGTAATGGTTAATGAACAATAAAGATAATTTAAAACAGTGTAAGGGAGGTAATCCAAATACAACGTTTTGGTTACTTCCCTTACACTGCTTTTAAATTATGTTTAAAGAAATGCATATTTATAAAGGAAGACCAGTAAAAATATCTGCAAATGTTGCATCTTTTTTTTTTTACAAAAAAATCCATATGAAAGATTTGACACTATATTTTTAATTGTATTATAAAATAGATTAAGTTAGCACTATGGTAAATTTAAATGGGTAATTATGGTTGCCAACTCCATTGGAAATTTGAATTGAGATTTTGACCATATCTTGAGGGAAAGAATTTTTGGGGGGGAAAAAAGGGGGGGGGGATAAAAAGAAATTGTGGGGGGTCAATTTTTTCTCATTTCAGATTTCAGAAATTAAAAAGAATTATTCTTCAAATATTATTTTTTTTTCAAATTTCAAATATTGAAAAATTTCAAGAAGTAATCTTTAATTGCACAGTATGGCGCATTAGATTTGTAAAATCTTTGATCACATTTATTTATTTGTTATGCCGAATCTAACAGTGTATTTAGATTTTTAATTTTGGGTCCAGTTTTCAAATTGGTCTACATTAAGGTCCAAAGGGTCCAAAATTAAACTTTGTTTGATTTTAGCAAAAATTGAATATATGAGGTTCTTTGATATGCTGAATCTAAACATGTATTTAGATTTTTGATTTTTGGCCCAGTTTTCAAGTTGGTCCAAATTGGGGTCCAAAATTAAACTTTGTTTGATTTCAACAAAAATTGAATATGTGGGGTTCTTTGATATGCTGAATCTAACCATGTATTTAGATTTTTTATTTGTGGACCCCGTTATCAAATTGGTTCATATTGAGGTCAAAAGGGTCCAAAATTAAACTTTGTTTGATTTCATCTAAAATTGAATTATTAGGGTTCTTTGATATTCCAAATCTAACCGTGTATTTAGATTTTTAATTTTGGGTCCTGTTTTTTAAATTGGTCTACATTAAGGTCCAAAGGGTCCAAAATTAAAGTTAGTTTGATTTTAACAAAAATTGAATTCTTGGGGTTCTTTGATATGCTGAATCTAAACATGTGTTTAGATTTTTGATTATGGGCCCAGTTTTCAAGTTGGTCCAAGATAGGGTCCAGTATTTAAACTTTGTTTGATTTCAACAAAAATTGTATATATGGGGTTCTTTGATATGCTGAATCTAAACATGTATTTAGATTTTTGATTATGGGCCCAGTTTTCAAGTTGGTCCAAATTGGGGTCCAAAATTAAACTTTGTTTGATTTCATCAAAAATTGAATTATTGGGGTTCTTTGATATGCCAAATCTAACCGTGTTTATAGATTTTTAATTTGGGTCCCGTTTTTTTTTAAATTGGTCTTCATTGAGGTCCAAAGGGTCCAAAATTAAACTTAGTTTGATTTTAACAAAAATTGAATTCTTGGGGTTCTTTGATATGCTGAATCTAAACATGTGTTTAGATTTTTGATTATGGGCCCAGTTTTCAAGTTGGTCCAAGTTGGGGTCCAAAATTAAACTTTTTTTTATTTCAACAAAAATTGAATATATGGGGTTCTTTGATATGCTGAATCTAACCATGAATTTAGATTTTTTATTTGAGGGCCCCGCTATCAAATTGGTTCATATTGAGGTCAAAAGGGTCCAAAATTAAACTTTGTTTGATTTCATCAAAAATTGAATTATTGGGGTTCTTTGATATTCCAAATCTAACCGTGTATTTAGATTTTTAATTTTAAGTCCTGTTTTTTAAATTGGTCTACATTAAGGTCCAAAGGGTCCAAAATTAAACATAGTTTGATTTTAGCAAAAATTGAATTCTTGGGGTTCTTTGATATGCTGAATCTAAACATGTGTTTAGATTTTTGATTATGGGCCAAGTTTTCAAGTTTGTCCAAGTTGGGGTCCAAAATTAAACTTTGTTTGATTTTAACAAAAATTGAATATATGGGGTTCTTTGATATGCTGAATCTAACCATGTATTTTGATTTTGGACATTGGACCATAATAGGTAAATTAAAAAAATTCAAGTTCTTAGACCACATTCTTTCTGTGTCAGAAACCTATGCTGTGTCAAATATTTATTGTAACTTCCAGACATAACTTGTGTGTTAGTGTATGGATCTCTCTGACATTGTACCACAAGGTTCCATATCACAAAGGGAATGCTGGGATTGATTTTGGGGGTAATTGCCTCAAAATTTTAGGAATTAGGGGCAAAAAAAGGGGCACAAAACAAGCATTTTTCTAGTTTCAGGACAATAACTTGTGTGTAAGTGTATGGATCTTTATGAAATTGTACTACAAGGTTCCATATCACAAAGGGAAAGCTGGGTTTGAGTTTGGGGGTAATTGCCCTAAACGTTTAGGAATTTGGGGCCAAAAAGGGGCCTTAAAACAAGCATTTTTCTAGTTTCAAGACAATAACTTGTGTTCAAGTGTATGGATCTCTCTGAAATTGTACTGCAAGGTACCATACCACAAAGGGAAGGTTGGGATTGAGTTTGGGGGTGATGAATCATAAGGGGGTTCAAAAAATTTGGGGGAGGGATTTTTTTTTCCTTTCTTTCCTTTTTTTTTCTTTAAAATTTTCCATTTTAAATTGGTTATTTCTGATTTATATATAAAAGCAAATAATAATGATATGGTTTGTATAGGTAAATTAAAATTTTTTAAGTTCTTAGACCACATTCATTCTGTGTCAAAAACCTATGCTGTGTCAAATATTTAATCACAATCCAAATTCAATGCTGTATCAAGCTTGAATGTTGTGTCCATACTTGCCCCAACTGTTCAGGGTTCGACCTCTGCGGTCGTATCAAGCTGCGCCCAGCGGAGCATTTTATTTATTATGCAATGAAAAACAGCTTAGATCTTTTTGAGAAATACTTTTTATATAGAAACCCTATTTTAAAATGTAATGGATCACAAATTAAAATATTATTTTGAGAGGTATAGAAACTTTAACACTATGCTGATGAGCGTTTTATTGTCATCAAAAGAGGGGTTACTCTTGATTTCAGTTTTGGTGTGTGCAAGAATACATGTTATATTTGAACTGAATTACATCATCAGTTTACTGAAAATGTATTTACTATTTATAAACAAGTGATTGATATGAACAATGTTTATCATGTTTTAGTGAATATGGGTTTTGTCCTATTTACTTTTTATTGTAAATATATATTTGTAAATAAAATTTTATCAAATGAAAAAAAAAAAATTATATTGATGGCTATGGGAAGAGTCATTAGATTTTGTTGGGTTTGGTTATCAAAATTTCTACATATTTAATTATCCTTATTTTTATGTGATTCAACTAAAGAAATAATTTATGATAGCCTTGATTCCACTATAACTCACAGAAGATGTATATTTGAAAAATTAGTTCTCTCTTCAGCATTTTTGGGTTGGAAAAGATGAAAATGAATATCTAAATGGCATATTTTTGCCAAGTAAGCAATTCATGATCCCTATGTTCTGAAATTTCTTTTATTTGAAATTTTAAAGATGCATCAATAAATTCACACCTTTTTGCTCTTGTACACTATTCTATAATGTTTTTGTAGTTAATGTTATTTTGACAGTTTCAATTTAAAATTAACAGACTGAATTATATTTTTGAAATATTAAGTTTCAAATCACTTAAGCACAACCATAGCTAATACCCAGATCAGTGATTGAATGGTTATGACCAGCAAATAAGACCATTAAAAAAATAGTTGTGAACTTGTGATACTATAAAGCGTATTTGAACATTGGAGTTTATTGATTTGGAAATGTGGTAAGTTATAGTCTTAGATTATTATCTAGTGTCTCACTGTAACCAAATAGATATGTTTGATCATTGTAATACGGTAATAAAAAAGAGGATGTCTAGAAACACGAGAAATATGTCCTGGTATGAACAGGCGTAATCATGGTAATCGATGAAGAAAGACGTCATAAAATACTATTTACAATGTAATCCTTCTTGAAAACCAATACCTTTTGCCATTTGTTTACCACTACTCTTTTTCATTTTACCATGTTTACCTTTCAGAGAAATTAGACAGGGGTTAAAGACTGAGATAGAGGAATTAAAAACTACTTATCCTAGATTTTGTCCTGGATTAGCCATTGTTCAGGTAAAAATATCAGTTCATAGAAAGACAAAAATTAAGCATGTCAAAGATTTATGTTGATTGTTAGTTACTTGTTACTGTATTCAAACATACATTGTTATACTGAATAATCTGGTAAAAAGAATTATTGGTTAAAGAAACGGTTCTTACATTTATAAAAATGGAACAATGGAAGATGCATTTTGATGTAACCTTTTTCTTTTCTGATTATCTGGAATCAGATGAAACAAAAATGTTGAATCTGAAAGATATGTTTGTCAGATTAAAAAATGCCATGGCAAAAAAAGAAAAACCATCAGAAGACAAACAACAGTATACAAAACACAACATAAAAAACTTAAGACTGAGCAAAACAAACCCCACAAAAAAACAGGGGGAAGGGGGGTATCTCAGGTGCTCCATAAGAGTAAGCAAATCCTTCTCCACATGTGGTACTCATCGTGTTGCTCATGTAAGGTAACCAAAAAATCTATTACTTTTTATAAATACTTAACATGATCAGTTATTAGATTTACATTTTGTTCACAAACCAGAGAAAATTTCTCTGAAAATGTTTCAATTCAATGTTTATTATATAAAATTAACCTAAAACAGAAACAGACATTTGATTATGATGTTTGTAGGTTGGTGACAGAGATGATTCTAATGTGTATATTGGTCAAAAGGTCAAGAATGCTGGAGCTATAGGGGTTACTGCAAGTCATATCAAATTACCAAGGACATCAACACAGTCTGAGGTAGGGTTAAGCATAAGCAAGATTTATTTGAATTATAAAGCTAACATAATAATACTATTATTTTAACATACCAGCTCATTTTGAAACATACAGGATTTTCTCTTTTCTGTAGAGATTCAGAAAATAATATCATATTGTGTTAATCATCTTGTTCCCAATATAACATTATCAAGCTGAAATGAGGAAATGCAGAAAGAAAAGGATTATTTGTTATTTGTTATTATTACTTGTATATCAAAATATTTTGAATTAGAAATAAGTTAATGTATTTAATGTATTAATTCAATTTTAGAATTTCACTTACATTTTCAAAGTACAAAAACAAAGTTGACACCACCCATAATTGAGATTTGAAGAGTGGTCCCTGTATGTTTTTAGACCGGCCATAAGAAACTCATCTTTATTTTGCTACTATTATTTTTGTAGGTTTTGGATGCTGTTGAAAGTCTGAATTCTGATCCTGCTGTACATGGAATGATTGTTCAGGTATTTTACTAAATTCAATCCTTGCAATGATATAGTTGAGCATTTTTTGTTTGCTAAGTTTAATCCTTACTTGTTGCAAGTCACCATAAAATGAGGAGGATCTTTTCTTCCAGTTTTCAAAATCATGTTGTATTTATTTGACTAAGATAACGTAGATTTATCATGTTTATTTAAGAAAACACACTTTGTTAATTCCATAAAATTTAACCTACCTGCAGTTTTTATACGACCGCAAAAATTAAAAATTTTTTGGTCGTATATTGGTATCACGTTGTCTTCGTCGTCGTCAGCGTCGTCCAAAGACAGATGGTTTCTGGATAATAACTTTAGTATAAGTAAATAGAAATCAATAAAATTTTAACACAAGGTTTATAACCACTAAAGGAAGGTTGGGATTGATTTTGGGGGTTATGGTCCCAACTGTTTAGGAATGAGGGGCCAAAAAAGGGGCCCAAATAAGCATTTTTGTAGTTTCCAGACAATAACTTGTGTTAAAGTGTATGAATCTCTCTGAAATTATACCACAAGTTTCCATACTACAAAGGGATGGTTATGATTGACCTAGGGGGGTTATGGCTCAAACCATTTAGGAATTATGGGCAAAAAAAGGGGAAAAACAAGGGTTTTTCTGGTTAAAAGACAATTGAGACAATTTAAAAGTAGTGTAAGGGAGGTAATCCAAATCAATTTTAAAGAACATTGTTTGGTTACCTCCCTTACACTGCTTGTAAATTATGTATTAAGAAACGATGATTGTCTTGAGGTGATTAGCTGTCAATTTATTTTTAACAGTTACTATTAATTAATATTAATTTTAGCCATGACTATGTATGTCATTTTATATTTTAAGACTTTTATGATGTATTTAAATAGGTAGTTATGGTTGCAAACTCCATTAGAAATTTGAATTGAGATACTGACCATATCCTGAGGGAAAGAATTTTTTTTGGAGTAAGGGAAAGGGGGGAGGTGAAAAAAATTGGAGGGGTGGACAATTTTTCTCATTTCAGATTTCAGAAATTAAAAGAAAATTTCTTCAAATATTTTGTTTTTGGGGGTTAATATTCAACAGCATAGTGTATTGCACAAAAGCAAAAATTGAATATAAATTCAAAATCATATAACCAATTTGAAGTTCTTTGACTACAGTTATTCTGTGTCAGAAACCTATTATGTGTCAAAAATTTAATTACAATCCAAATTCAGACCTGTATCAAGCGTGAATATTGTGTCCATTTTGGCTCCAACTTTTCAGGGTTGGACATCTGCGGTCGTATCCAGCTGTGCTCAGCAAGCAATTTATTAACTTTGTGTGAGAATCAAATGAAGTCCTTAAGCATTCAACTAATAATGGTCACTATGTCTGCTAGAATACTGAGAAACTTTTGCATGTTGATATAAAGTTAGGGCTTTGTAAAGGAAATGTTATCATAACTTGTATTTCATGTTGCACTGTTTTTTGTTACCATTTTTATTTCAATTGCCTTCTAAAGTTCTGCAATTGTTGAACTTAGGAAGTGATTGCAAGGGCTTTATATAGAAAGGAATCTCATAACCTACATTTTACACATCAGTGACACTGGTACATTTTTCTATCACATTTTTTTTCAGCTCCTAAATGATCTTGTCATGGCAACCATATCTTACAAAGCCTCCTTATAAATGTTGATTTCATTGATATTTTATCAGTATATTTACATAAAGTTTGGTCAATAGTTATGTAGTTACGTATGATGTCCTTACATTGAAACAATATTGACAAATGTTTTGCTTCTTGAACAGATTTCCCCTTTTCACTATAACCACAATTTTTTTGTTTAAATAAATATTAAGATCAGTTATAATTTTGAGTTCACCTATTGATTTGATTAAATCTCTGTTTTTGTTTTTAATAATTTAATGTATCAATCTTTATTCTTGTTTAAACTCCGGTTCATTTAAGATACTTGCAAACTCGATAGTCATTTGGAATTTATTATCCAAGTGATGAAAATCCCAACATTTTGGTGATTATTTTTCAGCTCCCTTTAGATAGTGAAAATGAAATAGATTCCCACCTTGTAACTAATGCTGTCAGACCAGAAAAAGATGTTGATGGGTAAGAATTGAAATAATTATGGGATCCCCTTTCTCATACGCATGCTTAAAATAATAAGTGACTACAGGGTTTCAGTAATGCATAGGTATTGCATCTACCTTTTAAAAAATGTGGAAGAAATGAAATTTCACAAAATGTTTATAAAAAATTACATCAGACCAAAAAATCATTCAAAATATTCAGCCATTTTGAATATAAATGACAGTATGTATTATGGTAGGCATGTGTTAAAACAATCAACTGTGTAGGATAGAAAAAAGATGATATGATTAGATTAATATAGAAAAGTAAAGGATTTTTATATCAGAAGAACTTTACCATTGAACTTTGACTGAAATCATTTCACAGCAAAGAAATTTGTGTTTTTTTCTAGCATTAGTTAAGATTGACACTCAGCCAGAAATATGTACTAAAAAAGGACCTGCAAGTATATCTAATAGAAGAAACCAAATATGTAAAAGTAAATATAAAAGAAACGTTTTATTTTATTTTGACAGATTACATCAGATTAACGCTGGTAAATTGTCTAGAGGAGATTTAGATAGCTGTATTTTACCATGTACACCTAAAGGATGTTTGGAACTCATCAGAAGATCAGGTAAGATCAGAAATCTTAAGATAATAAGTTGCATCTTTCAGGACACTCAATCAAACTTTATTCTTGTTTAAACTCCAGTTCATTTAAGATACTTGCAAACTCGAGAGTCATTTGGAATTTATTATCCAAGTGATGAAAATCCCAACACTTCAATTTTACCCAATACTAAAAATGTAGATATTGGTAAAAGACTGGAGAAGTGAAGAAAGTCAAAAACATAATCACAAATGACAAATTTTTCAAATATTTTGGACATTAGAACGAAGCTAAGAATTCTGCTGGTCATTTTATTCAAAATTCATATTTAGAAATATGTCTATGAAACTTAAACTGCTAAATTGTGCATCAACATGTTCAAAGGACAGATCACTTTTTGTTTTCTTTAAGTCCATGATTTTTAAAAAGATAAATGCACAATATTTTTTGGAATGACTTTAAAAAAATTTGAATATATGTTTTTATTTAATCCATTCTTGGATCTAATAATTGAAATTTGACAGAGTTAAAAAAAAAATTGTAGGAGTGAAAATTGCTGGTGCCACAGCTGTTGTAGTTGGTAGAAGTAAAATTGTAGGATCTCCTATGGCTGATTTGTTGAAATGGAACCATGCTACTGTAACTGTGTGCCATTCTAAAACACAAAATTTACCTGATATTGTAAGTTAGATAATTCTCAATACTATTATAATGTAACTTTTATATCAGAAGTTGATGTAAATTTAATGAGATGAAATGTGCATCATGTAGTTTGTTTTTAATATGAAGGGTATTTAATGTTTGGAAAGTAGCAGAATTTTCATGGAAAATTGTATTCAAATTCTGAATGATCTAATGTTGTCTCCCATAGCATGGGAATGTTCTTTGCTAAAAAATAATGATATAACTCATACTGGTATTGGAGTGAGATATAATGAATTCATCTTAAATAATTGTTTTTGGGGAAGACAGTTTGATTGATAAACTTAACCCAATTATAATTTTCACAGTTAGCATTTAGAATTGAGAATACAAAAACATGTATTAAATTTCTGAACAAATGCCAGAGAATACTTCTCTTTTCATTTACTTAAGAATAGTAGTTGTAGTTGATCTTGTGTTGAATCTACAAAATATGTTTGATGCATATTCAAAATATTTTGTAGGTTAAGACAGCAGATATTGTAGTAGTAGGCATAGGCAGACCACAAATGGTGAAAGGTGATTGGATCAAACAAGGAGCTGTAGTTATAGACTGTGGTATCAACTCTATTCCAGGTATAGAATATAATATTTCAACAATATTTATAATAATAGATTAGCACTTATTCATTTAAGCAATCAAATTTGGTTGTTTTATGTTTATGTTCATTTTGTAGAAACTCATGATGGCAGTGCAGTATTTCATCACTATGACTTTCTTATAAAGTACAAAATTGGTATATAAAAAAATTGTATGTCATCTACATTTGTGCTAATTATTAATTTCTGGTCTTTCCTTTCACTAAAAATTTTGATAACATTTTTTAGCGAAATATTGAAATTAAAAAACAAGCCAGAAAAACATTCAGACAAAGATTTAAGTAGTATAAAGGCATACAAAATTCTAAATAAAGAGAATAAAGTAATAGAAACCAATTATATAGTTGAAGTTCCATTAAGGATTGAAGTTACACAAGAGTGAAATGAATAATTTAAGGCATTTTCATGGCATTGCATAATGTATAAGATTCCAGTGCAACAATAGCATCACATTCAAGGTATATGAGTTCAGATCAATTTGTATCCCCTCTAAAATGTAGAATTTTGTTCTTATGTCTCATATCTTATAATAATCAAAAACTTTGAAGGACTTGAACATTGAAGGTTAACATTATTTTTTTTCTAAATACGTAAATATAAAGAAGGTAACCACAGCAGTGTACTGTATTATATTTGGTTATTTAGATGCAACAAAGAAGTCTGGAAAGAGGCTGGTTGGTGATGTCGATTTTGATGAAGTAAAACAAGTAGCATCATGGGTCACCCCTGTTCCTGGTGGTGTAGGTCCAATGACAGTAGCCATGCTGTTGCAGAATACTGTAGAACAGGCGAGGAAAATGGCTGCAAAATGTGTGGTAAATATACCTTATATATATATGGAAGACAGCTAGAAGAATAAACTAATGTGACTATTGTGTAATAAAAATGTCAGAACAAACTAACTGTGGCTGCAAAATGAAAATGAACTAAATATGTTGATATCTTAGACAACCCTTTTTCTTGCTACACTGACCCAAAGCGCCAGTGTGATCTATTGCCATTAGTGACTTGTTGTCACTGGTTTATGTCCGTTATATTTTACAAAAATCTACTTCTCTGAAACTATTGGGCCTAATTGAACCAAACATAGAATCAATCATCCTTGGTGTATTTAGTCTTTAAAAAATGTGTCCAATGATCCCACCAGCAAGCAAAATGGAAGTGAAGGCTAAAAATAGAATTTTGGGGGAAATGCAAGTATTGTCTATTATTTTGAGTGTGATAGAGAGATCTGACAGGGGCAAAAGTGTAACATATTGTCTATTTTAAACCCTTAAATGACTATATCTACCAATTTTACCTTTTTTGGCCTATTTTCTGGAAAACTATAATAGAGAGAATAGCTAAAAAAAGAGCAGCAAGAAAGGTCAAATTTGAAATAATGTGTGGAATAGAAGATAACACCACAGTAAGGATAGGGACAGAATTTTATAGTTTCTCTGTTGCCGCAATCAAAATTAGCAATACATTAAACAGGCCTTAAATGGCAGATCCATGATTACACATGTTATATATCTAATGTGATGCATTGTGAGGAACAAAGAAATACCATCTGTCTGTCCATCTGGTCTTGTTAGCGCTCTCATGTGTACAATTCTTGCCAGATTTTTATAAAATATATCATAGGTTTATATCAGCAATGTTTCAGACAAGTTCGAAAATCAGTGCTGATCAACTATTTTCATACGACCGCAAAAAAATTTTTGCGATCTTATATTGGTATGACGTTGGCGGCGGCGTCTTCGTCGTCGTTGTCCGAAGACACATTGGTTTTCGCACTCTAACTTTAGTTTAAGTGAATGGATCTCTATGAAATTTCACCATAAGGTTCAATACCACAAAAGGAAGGTTGGGATTGATTTTGGGGGTTATGGTACCAACAGTTAAGGAAAAAGGGGCCAAAATAAGCATTTTTGTAACTTCCATACATAACTTGTGTGTTAGTGTATGGATCTCTCTGACATTGTACCACAAGGTTCCATATCACAAAGGGAATGCTGGGATTGATTTTGGGGGTAATTGCCTCAAAATTTTAGGAATTAGGGGCCAAAAAAGGGGCAAAAAACAAGCATTTTTATATGGACAAATACTTTAGTACAAAACATAATTTAAAGCAGTGTAAGGGAGATAAATCAAATACATCATTTGTATTACCTCCCTTACACTGCTTTTAAATTATGCATAAAGTAATGGTTAATGAACAATTAAGACAATTTAAAACAGTGTAAGGGAGGTAATCCACATACAACGTTTTGATTACTTCCCTCACACTGCTTTTAAATTATGTTTAAAGAAATGCATATTTATAAAGGAAGAACAGTAAAAATATCTGTAAATGTTGCATCTTTTTTTTTTTACAAAAAAATCCATATGAAAGATTTGACGCCATATTTTAAATTCTATTATAAAATAGATTAAGTTAGCACTATGGTAAATTTAAATGGGTAATTATAGTTGCAAATTCCATTGGAAATTTGAATTGAGATTATGACCATATCTTGAGGGAAAGAATTTTTTTTGGGGGAAAAGGTGGAGGGTAGGGGGGTAAAAAGAAATTGTGGGGGTCATTTTTTTCTCATTTCAGATTTCAGAAATTAAAAAGAATTATTCTTCAAATATTTTTTTTTTTTTCAAATTTCAAATATTGAAATATTTCAAGAAGTAATCTTTAATTGCACAGTATGGCGCATTAGATTTGTAAAATCTTTGACCACATTTATTTATTTGTTATGCCAAATCTGACCGTGTATTTAGATTTTTGATTATGGGCCCAGTTTTCAAGTTGGTCCAAGTTGGGGTCCAAAATTAAACTTTGTTTGATTTCAACAAAAATTGAATATATGGGGTTATTTGATATGCTGAATCTAAACATGTGTTTAGATTTTTGATTATGGGCCCAGTTTTCAAGTTGGTCAAAGTTGGGGTCCAAAATTAAACTTTGTTTGATTTCAACAAAAATTGAATATATGGGGTTATTTGATATGCTGAATCTAAACATGTGTTTAGATTTTTGATTATGGGCCCAGTTTTCAAGTTGGTCCAAGTTGGGGTCCAAAATTAAACTTTGTTTGATTTCAACAAAAATTGAATATATGGGGTTCTTTGATATGCTGAATCTAACCATGTATTTTGATTTTTGGGCCCCTTTATCAAATTGGTCCACATTGAGGTCAAAAGGGTCCAAAATTAAACTTTGTTTGATTTCATCAAAAATTGAATTCTTTGGATTCTTTGATATGCTGAATCTAAACATGTATTTAGAATTTTGATTTCGGCCCAGTTTTCAAGTTGGTCCAAATTGTGGTCCAAAATTAAACTTTGTTTGATTTCAACAAAAATTGAATATATGGGGTTCTTTGATATGCTGAATCTAACCATGTATTTAGATTTTTTATTTGTGGGCCCCACTATCAAATTGGTTCATATTGAGGTCAAAAGGGTCCAAAATTAAACTTTGTTTTATTTCATCAAAAATTGAATTATTGGGGTTCTTTTATATTCCAAATCTAACCGTGTATTTAGATTTTTAATTTTGGGTCCAGTTTTCAAATTGGTCTATATTAACGTCCAAAGGGTCCAAAATTAAACTTTGTTTTATTTTAACAAGAATTGAATATATGGGGTTCTTTGATATGCTGAATCTAAACATGTATTTAGATTTTTGATTTCGGGCCCAGTTTTCAAGTTGGTCTAAATTGTGGTCCAAAATTAAATTTTGTTTGATTTCAACAAAAATTGAATATATGGGGTTCTTTGATATGCTGAATCTAACCATGTATTTAGATTTTTTTATTTGTGGGCCCCACTATCAAATTGGTTCATATTGAGGTCAAAAGGGTCCAAAATTAAACTTTGTTTTATTTCATCAAAAATTGAATAATTGGGGTTCTTTGATATGGGTAATCTAACCCTGTATTTAGATTTTAAATTTTGGGTCCCGTTTTTTAAATTGGTCTACATTAAGGTCCAAAGGGTTCAAAATTAAACTTAGTTTGATTTTAACAAAAATTGAATTCTTGGGGTTCTTTGATATGCTGAATCTAAACATGTGTTTAGATTTTTGATTATGGGCCCAGTTTTCAAGTTGGTCCAAGTTGGGGTCCAAAATTAAACTTTGTTTGATTTCAACAAAAATTGAATATATGGGGTTATTTGATATGCTGAATCTAAACATGTGTTTAGATTTTTGATTATGGGCCCAGTTTTCAAGTTGGTCCAAGTTGGGGTCCAAAATTAAACTTTGTTTGATTTCAACAAAAATTGAATACATGGGGTTATTTGATATGCTGAATCTAAACATGTGTTTAGATTTTTGATTATGGGCCCAGTTTTGAAGTTGGTCCAGTTTGGGGTCCAAAATTAAACTTTGTTTGATTTCAACAAAAATTGAATATATGGGGTTATTTGATATGCTGAATCTAAACATGTGTTTAGATTTTTGATTATGGGCCCAGTTTTCAAGTTGGTCCAAGTTGGGGTCCAAAATTAAACTTTGTTTGATTTCAACAAAAATGAATATATGGGGTTCTTTGATATGCTGAATCTAACCATGTATTTTGATTTTTGGGCCCCTTTATCAAATTGGTCCACATTGAGGTCAAAAGGGTCCAAAATTAAACTTTGTTTGATTTCATCAAAAATTGAATTCTTTGGATTCTTTGATATGCTGAATCTAAACATGTATTTAGAATTTTGATTTCGGGCCCAGTTTTCAAGTTGGTCCAAATTGGGGTCCAAAATTAAACTTTGTTTGATTTCAACAAAAATTGAATATAAGGGGTTCTTTGATATGCTGAATCTAACCATGTATTTAGATTTTTTATTTGTTGGCCCCGCTATCAAATTGGTTCATATTGAGGTCAAAAGGGTCCAAAATTAAACTTTGTTTTATTTCATCAAAAATTGAATTATTGGGGTTCTTTGATATTCCAAATCTAACCGTGTATTTAGATTTTTAATTTTGGGTCCAGTTTTCAAATTGGTCTACATTAACGTCCAAAGGGTCCAAAATTAAACTTTGTTTGATTTCAACAAAAATTGCATATATGGGGTTCTTTGATATGCTGAATCTAACCATGTATTTTGATTTTTGGGCCCCTTTATCAAATTGGTCCACATTGAGGTCAAAAGGGTCCAAAATTAAACTTTGTTTGATTTCATCAAAAATTGAATTCTTTGGATTCTTTGATATGCTGAATCTAAACATGTATTTAGAATTTTGATTTCAGGCCCAGTTTTCAAGTTGGTCCAAATTGTGGTCCAAAATTAAATTTTGTTTGATTTCAACAAAAATTGAATTCTTGGGGTTCTTTGATATGCTGAATCTAAACATGTGTTTAGATTTTTGATTATGGGCCCAGTTTTCAAGTTGGTCCAAGTTGGGGTCCAAAATTAAACTTTGTTTGATTTCAACAAAAATTGAATATATGGGGTTTTTTGATATCCTGAATCTAACCATGTATTTTGATTTTTGGGCCCCGTTATCAAATTGGTCCACATTGAGGTCAAAAGGGTCCAAAATTAAACTTTTTTTGATTTCATCAAAAATTGAATTCTTTGGATTCTTTGATATGCTGAATCTAACCATGTATTTAGATTGTGGATATTGGACCATAATAGGTAAATTAAAAAAATTTAAGTTCTAAGCCCACATTCATTCTGTGTCAGAAACCTATGCTGTGTCAAATATTTAATCAGAATCCAAATTCAGAGCTGTATCAAGCTTGAATGTTGTGTCCATACTTGCCCCAACTGTTCAGGGCTCGACCTCTGCGGTCGTATCAAGCTGCGCCCAGCGGAGCATTTTATTAAAGAGTTGCCCCTTGGAAATATTAATTACATTGAAAATTTCATTGTTAGCGCTCTCATGTGTACAATTCTTGCCAAATTTTTATGAAACTTATATCATAAGTTTATATCAGCAATGGTTTGTAGAAGTTCGAAAAATCAGTGCAAATCAATTATTTTTAAAAGAGTTTTGCCCCTTGGAAATATTAATTATATAGGAAATTGCATTGTATTTGCTTTCAAGCCTTCATTTCTCTAAGATATTTGTAAAAAGTTTTAAAGAGCAAAAAAATAAAAGTTTTTTTAGTTACAGTCGACTCCACTTAATTGCATACCGCTTTATAGCATAATTCGGTTAATTGCATAGTTTTCTCCTGCACAAAACCATTTCCCATTCATCTAATGTTAAATTATCCGGTTATATGCATAGCTCTACAAGTGGCCTTTCGGTTTATTGCATAGAAAATAATCGCCATCTAGATATGCTTAGTTAAAACTGCCAAGATTTTTGACCGGAAACGGCAACTTGGTGAGTATATTTTCTTGAATGCATTATTATTTTCGTTATTGTTTCATATTTACTTTTGTGTTATTTAAATAAAGTTTTAAAACAGTTTCTTTTGTGTTTATATGATGGAATTTGATTTAAAAATAAACCTCGATGTCTACACAGGTAAAGTTTCCCATGTTCTATTTTAAGCCTCGAGGTCATAAAAATGTCAAACGGGTAATTGTTGTAAAAACACTGAACATTCTATCTCAAAAGTTGTTAATAATTGATTGGATTTCAAACATTGTCTCAAGATTACATTTCGGGTGAATTTTAAAAACAATAACGCCTGCTAATTATCGATCATTATCCAATGTGAACTCTCATAATTGGGCTTGGGGTGATCTGCATTTATGTTAAATATTACAGGGTATTTATATATCGTTAAAGAATGTTATACATCAATCATTTATTTTTAATATTTTTATGAATTATGAAAAGAGCATTTACTTCTAATTATTATATTTTCTCACTTTAAACACTCATGTCCAGCAAATTACCTGTACAGGGCCCCATTACTGCTTTGCATATACGAAACTAATAAGGTTAGATAAACAGTGTTACATCACTGTGCAAGCTGTAAATACTGCATATCAAAGGCAGTTCATTACACATCTATTGTTAAAATGATTATAAACTGTGTAGTAATGTTAAACAGTTTATTTTAATTAAAGCGTAACAATGTACATTGTACATACAGGTCATAGAAACAAATCTATTTTTAGAACAATTTGTTTTATTTTCGTATCCCAGGTAAAGGAAACGTCGGTACTCAAATAAACTAAAACAAAATGTGTTTATTGGTTGCCTTCGGCTGTTGTCTGCTCTATGGTCGGGTTGTTGTCTCTTTGACACATTCCCCATTTCCATTCTCATTTTTATTGTAATCTTTATTGAAAGTATACAAAATAAAATAACGTGTATGACACTAGACATATAACTTTTATTAGAATAAATCAACATTAAATATGTTGTAAGTGATTATAGACTTTCATCTTTCTTCAGGGATTTCCTTTACTCGTCTGTTCTATCGATGTTTTTTTACCTGTAATTTGGCATTTCGGATATAAGCATACTCCGCTTTATTGCATAATTTTGTCTGACAAATAGGCTATGCAAATAACCGGAATCGACTGTATTACGATTGGACAGATAAAATATGTGCAACGCGAGGGACATTGGAACTCTGTTTTTTTATTCATGTTAAGCTGTCTTTAGTTGACTTTGAGACAATTTGTTTTCCTGATATTCTATTTTTGTTGAGAAAAAGATCCAATTTTGATATTATTGGAACAAGTATTATTTTTCTACATGACAGAAGTGCTATATTTTGGTCAAGAGAAAAATGTTAGCACCCGTCTTTACTTTTACATGAAAGATTGAAATAACTGAACAAAGAACATCAATTTCAAAATACTGTCTTATCTATTGAAAATACTACACTGTAAATGATTTATTGAAGAAGTGAGTTAATATGCTAACGCCCATCTAACAATCATTTGTTAAACCCTCATAGCAGGACGGTGAGTACTAATTAAAAGAAAGGTGGGCACTGTTGTATATGAACTGTCTAAGGTCAGGTCAGGTACAAATTTTCATTTCCGTTTTGATGTCTTTCTTTTCAGTGCATTGAAATTACATCAAACAATTAAGTCCTTCATTGCAGGCTGGTAAATGGAACCTTGATCTTAACCCATTGAAGCTTGTTACTCCAGTACCTAGGTAAGAATTAAGTATTTAATTAAGTCTCCCAAACGAAGTTTGGGAAGACTTATTGTTTTTGCTCAGTTCTTATTATTATTATTATTCTTCTTCCGCCGCTTTTAAATTTTAACTTGTCCGCACCCGTTCTCCAAAACCGCTTGTCAGATTAACTTAGGGTTTCACAATATGTTAGACTAACATGTCTAGTGGTGCAATCAGGGTTTTGTTTGTGCAATGGGGTTTATAAAGGGGTACTTTGAGGGGCAAAAAGAAAGGAGGGTTTTACTATAGAACCCTATGGGATTTTATTTTTTTAAATTTTCAAATGATTATAAATTGAAAACCGTTTGTGATAGACACAATCTTTTAAATTGAAAATGTTCTAAATGATAAAGCACATTTTATGAAATAAAAGGTTAGTCCCCAGGAGTCACCCCCACCCCCTGCCATTTAAAAAAGTTCTAATATCTTGTAAATGGTCGAGATCCCCACCCCTAAACCATATATATTCTGGTTTGTCATGCTAAGATGGTTTGAATGATATACAGGGTTAGTCCCCAGGGGTCGTCCCGACTCCCTGCCATTTGAGAAAATTCTAATATCTTGTAAATGGTCGAGATCCCCACCCCTAAACCATATATATTCTGGTTTGTCATGATAAAGCACATCAAATAAAATACAGGGTTAGTCCCGTGGGGTCACCCCAGCCCCCCTGCCATTTAAGAAAGTTCTAATATCTTGTAAGTGGTCAAGATCCCCACCCTAAACCATATATATTCTGGTTTGTCATGCTAAGATGGTTTGAATGATATACAGGGTTAGTCCCCAGGGGTCATCCCAACCCCCTGCCATTTGAGAAAGTTCTAATATCTTGTAAATGGTCGAGATCCCCACCCCTAAACCATATATATTCTGGTTTGTCATGATCAAGCACATCAAATGAAATACAGGGTTATTCCCCAGGGGTCACCCCCACCCCCTGCCATTTAAGAAAGTTCTAATATCTTGTAAGTGGTCAAGATCCCCACCCCTAAACCATATATATTCTGGTTTGTCATGCAAAGATGGTTTGAATGATATACAGGGTTAGTCCCCAGGGACACCCCCACCCCCTGCCATTTAAGAAAGTTCTAATATCTTGTAAGTGGTCAAGATCCCTACCCCTAAACCATATATATTCTGGTTTGTCATGCTAAGATGGTTCGAATGATATACAGGGTTAGTCCCCAGGGGTCATTCCGACCCCCTGTCATTTGAGAAAGTTCTGATATCTTGTAAATGGTCGAGATCCCCACCCCTAAACCATATAAATTCTGGTTTGTCATGATAAAGCACATCAAATGAAATACAGGGTTATTCCCCAGGGGTCACCCAACCCCCTGCCATTTAAGAAAGTTCTAATATCTTGTAAGTGGTCAAGATCCCCACCCCTAAACCATATATATTCTGGTTTGTCATGCAAAGATGGTTTGAATGATATACAGGGTTAGTCCCCTGGGGTCACCCCCACCCCCTGCCATTTAAGAAAGTTCTAATATCTTGTAAGTGGTCAAGATCCCCACCCCTAAACCATATATATTCTGGTTTGTCATGCAAAGATGGTTTGAATGATATACAGGGTTAGTCCCCAGGGACACCCCCACCCCCTGCCATTTAAGAAAGTTCTAATATCTTGTAAGTGGTCAAGATCCCTACCCCTAAACCATATATATTCTGGTTTGTCATGCTAAGATGGTTTGAATGATATACAGGGTTAGTCCCCAGGGGTCATTCCGACCCCCTGCCATTTGAGAAAGTTCTGATATCTTGTAAATGGTCGAGATCCATCCCTAAACCATATAAATTCTGGTTTGTCATGATAAAGCACATCAAATGAAATACAGGGTTATTCCCCAGGGGTCACCCAACCCCCTGCCATTTAAGAAAGTTCTAATATCTTGTAAGTGGTCAAGATCCCCACCCCTAAACCATATATATTCTGGTTTGTCATGCAAAGATGGTTTGAATGATATACAGGGTTAGTCCCCAGGGGTCACCCCCACCCCCTGCCATTTAAGAAAGTTCTAATATCTTGTAAGTGGTCAAGATCCCCACCCCTAAACCATATATATTCTGGTTTGTCATGCAAAGATGGTTTGAATGATATACAGGGTTAGTCCCCAGGGGTCACCCCCACCCCCTGCCATTTAAGAAAGTTCTAATATCTTGTAAGATCCCCACCCCTAAACCATATATATTCTGGTTTGTCATACCAAGATAGTTTGAATGATATACAGGGTTAGTCCCCAGGGGTCACTAATGCATATAACTTTACTGGACCAAACCAATTTTCACTGGACTTTGTCCAATGTCAGGCGACCCTGGGAATTACGAATTATGGGAGCTTCGTTTGGGAGACTTCGTAACAGCATCCTGTTACAATCATTTCTTGTTTAATAGTTAAAATAATGACAATGGTCCACTATGAATGGGAAAATGTGAGTTCTGCTTAACAGCATCTCTATTAGTAGGCTCCATGCAGGGATAAAAATAATAAAAATCTGATAGAAGGCTAGAATAATCAGTCTTGGGGAAAGGAGAATAGCCTAGTCAGCTAGACATGGTGTATTTTAAATTCTTCTAATGTCAATTTGGTTATTACTTTTCTCTTCGAATACTACAGGATTAATATATTGTTTCCACTTGTTATCTTCCTAAATATTCATAAATTATTTGACACTGGTTGTAAAGCAAACACCAATAAATCAGACTGCCAGTTACTTCTATCAGTTTTAAGTTGAGGAGTAAGGAACCATTTATGTAAGATAAAGCAAATTTTAATTCCGTATTTTCACAACTGTATGTATTTTAAATTTGGATGGCTGTTTATGTTATTGTATAAATATTGCAACATATTTACATAGTACATATATTTATACTTGTTTATTATTGGTAGTGACTTGGTCATAGCCCAGTCCCAGACGCCTAAAAACATTGAAATATTGGCAGATGAGATAAGCTTGCTGAAAGAGGAAGTAGATTATTATGGCAAAAAGAAAGCCAAAGTTTCATTGAAAGTTCTAGACAGATTACAGAACCATAAAAATGGCAAATATGTTGTAGTAACAGGGTAAGATATCATATTTTTCCGATGTAAAATTTGATATAGTTATAATGAAAATTCAAAAGGATTTGGTTGCTGGAAATATTATTTTCTATTATGAGGTGCAAATGATAAATGTAAATGATAATTGAAGATGGCTGGTATGGCTTTGTTTGTTCTGTTCAATGACAAATAGTTAAATTTTTTGCTTCGTGTCATACACCTTTTACATAGGACTATGGCTGTCCTGAAGATACTCAGTATAGATTCTGAAATAGATTGTGTATATTTAGTGAAATGGCAGATGATGAAATTGTGCACTTTTATGTCCTGTTATTCACTGGGTATTTAAAAAAAAATGTATTTAAGCTACTATATATGTGTGAACGATAATAGATAGATGAATCTATGATCATTTTTATTTTGATTATACATGTAGGAAAAGCTATATTATATTTATAGTATCATCCTGTGTTTAACATCCTAAAAATAATCAGTTCTACATGGGGTTCAACAAAATATATAAATACACTTTGATCCTTTTCAATGTAAAAATAAGGAGATTTGGTAAGAGGTATGTTAAATCAAAAGGAAATTCATTTTATGAAATAGTGAATAAAATGACAACAATGTTGTCAATTTTGTCATCTGCAATTACATATATTAGACACTTTAAAATCTGCATTATAAGTGAATATAGTTTTGAAAATCAAAATATAGTTTTTGATATTTTCAGGATTACACCAACACCACTAGGAGAGGGTAAAAGTACTACAACCATAGGATTAGCTCAAGCTTTAGGTGCTCAATCAAAGAAAAATGTATTTGCGTGTGTTCGTCAGCCATCTCAAGGACCTACCTTTGGAATTAAAGGTACTTATTTTAGAGGTCTTAAATTGAAGGACTGATATTTGTGACGTTATTAAAAGTAAATTTACAAGACAAATAGAGGAGCAGTGCATTTTACAGGCTTACATCTGGAAGTTCAAGTTACTGATAACCCGTTATAGTAAATAATTCATTTGGTTGGTATTTGAATGTTTCAAATCTGGCAAGAAATATAAACTATTACAGTTTTTTAGCAAATCAAACTTTAAATATTTAGTTGAAAAAGTATGTAACTAATTGACCATGGCATACTTTTCACTTAATTCTAAAACTGATACTTTTTGGAAAGTCTTTTACAACCACAAAACAGTATGTATTCATTACTTATAATTATAATTATATAGTTTATTTGTAGGAATGGTATAGTTATACATCATTCAGCCTGCAAATTTAAATCAAATAAATGAAACAAGAATACTAAATATATATTGACCATTTTGCCAGATGATAGTTTATGTTTCAAACACATTTTGAGAAGAATGAAAATTCACATTTCCAAATGCATGTTAAAATCATACAAACAACTGAATCCATTATTTTGTACAGATGGTACTGAAAGAAGTCATTCCCAGGGTATCTCTATGGAGGAATTCAACCTCCATCTGAAGATGATATCCATGCTATTAATAAATGCCTTATTTTTGTAGGTGGTGCTGCTGGAGGAGGTTATTCCATGGTCATCTCTATGGAGGCCTAAATCTGAAGGTGATAGCCATGCTATTAATAAATGTTTTTATTTGTAGGTGGTGCTGCAGGAGGAGGTTATTCCCAGGTCATCCCTATGGAGGAATTTAATCTTCATCTGACTGGTGATATCCATGCTATCACAGCAGCCAATAATTTGCTAGCTGCTCAGATTGAGGCTCGCATGTTTCACGAAAGTACACAAACTGATGAAGCTTTGTACAAGAGATTAGTACCAGATGTCAAAGGACTGAGAACATTCTCCAAAATACAACTTGCTAGACTGAAGGTATGAATAATTTGATCTGTGTTCAGTTTTCCACATCACCTGACATGAATAATTTTATTTTAAAGTAAGAATATTTATAAAGAGGTGCTTCATAACTTATATTTAAATATTTTAGCAAATTTGTGATGTAATCAAACTACTGTCTGGGGATCAACGATTTGGTTTTTGGATAATATATTTAAGTCATAAACAATATCTTTACCAAAGTTGGTTTATAATGGTCCCATGAGGTGTAGAGGACCCTATTGATTTTTAGGTCATTGGCCAAATGTCACGATTTGTATACTAAAATTCTTACTTTACCAAAGTTATCTTGAAAATTCATCTTTGGAAAGAATAAGACCACTATTGTGGTCGGTAGGTCAAATAACAAGGTCTGTAGAATAGACTGAAAATTTTAGAAATATTTCATATCTGTGCAATATCTCCAGCACTTTACAAAAGGTCTTTACAAATAATTGCTGGAAAAGGCACCTGGGAGGAAAGACATCTCTTTATTTTAATGTTACTGCATCAAAGACTAAGAAGTGAGTGAAGAGTGAAAAATCATCAATTAATGCTGCATGCATCATATAGAAGCAGATCACTATCAGGAAAAGGGGTCAGACACAATCAGTAATTATTTTTCCAAATCCTTAGCTATAGAAAGAATATCAGACAATATTTGCCTTTTTTAATCATTGAGCAATATTTACCATGTGCTTTTGAGGATCACTTCATAGAAAAGCTTTTTTTTTAAGTTTTAAAATTGTAAATCTGCTTTTAAGTTATCATGTATTTAAAGAGAATGCGCATACATGACAAAAATGCCACATGCTCCTACAATGAAATATATAACTTTCATTTATATTGTTTTATATAAAGACTATAAAGTGACCAATGGGGCAAAAGTGACTGCACAGTAAATGTTCTTAACAAAACATTTTTGTCAGAGGGAAATATCCTGCTTTGGACTTTTGTACGGTTGAAATCATGATCTGATACCCCATTCACCATCAATTACTTGTCAACCATTGCTAAAAAGTATATTGATTCCCTCAAAAGTCTGGTCATGCTTCTTTTACTGCTCTTAGAAATAGCTGCTGATAATGTTTTCATTATTTTAGAAGTTTTTGCATGATTTCATGAAGCTTTAATAATGTGTAAATGTATCTCTAAATTAGAATTTATATTACAGAAACTAGGAATAGAAAAAACAGATGCAAATAGTTTTACACCAGAAGAAGTAAAATCCTTTGTTAGATTGGACATTGACCCAACAACCATTACCTGGCAAAGAGGTATCTGTTTGCAGGTTAACAGTACTATATATGGCTTTACAGATAAGCTCACATAGTAATAATTACAAGTAGCTTTAACCTTGAGTCCTTGACATATCTTCACTGATCTTTAATTTACATATGACATGTGAAATGTTGATTCTTCATTCATTGGTGGTTGGTGTCATAAAAGATGACAGTAACCAAAGAGTCCTGATTAGGAAGAGAATGTATGGGAAGTTTGTGAGATCTGTATTTAGGGTAAAGTTTACATTCATGCAATCAAAACCCTTATGTGTCTGGCTTGATAGTATAAATTTTCCAGACTTTATCACTACTTATTAGATAAACAATACAGAGTGCATTGGGCATTCTATACATCCTATCCATGAACATTTTAAGAAATTTATCAATGAAATATATACTCAGATACTCAAGTTACAAACTGATGATTAACCATACTTGTCAATAAAAGAAAATTACATAAATTGTGCATGGTGCATGAATCTAGTATCTGTTCTAAAATATATAAATGATGTCATTGTAAAAGTAATAATTAAAATTAAAGTTATCTTCCATTGTCCATTAATTCATAGTATTGCCAGTGCCTTCCAATGCTTAAAGGGGCATTAGCTGTCAATTTCATGTTCACTGATTTGACTCATATTCTGATATTTGATTTATAACATACTGAAGCGTATATCCAAATTATAAAAAGTCTAAAATAAACAATTTACGATGAATGTACTTGGTAATATGTATCAGCATTTTGTGTGGATTTTAGTCTAGACGCCATCTAATTAACCATAGAGGTGACCTGGGAAGACTGCTGACGGTCATGTAATCCGATATAAACATAAATATAGATATAAACAGATAATGAACACGTGAAATTGGATTTTTCTAGGTCTGTTTGATTTCATATTATAGGTTAAAAAAATATGTTAATCATCGTTCTTACCTGTATAAAAATGAGCTTTTGTGGATCGAATCAGTCAACCAAATGGTTAACCATTGTTTCACTTTCAATGTTGACATTCTTTTCTTTTTTTTAAATAGCTGAACTCGCCTAGTTCATGCGTAACCCATCTCTATCTAAGGGGTTAAACTGAAGGTCACATAAATACGGAATGAATGAGGTCTAATTATTCACTTGCAAGTGAATAATTCATCAGCAATGTTTCTCAGCTTATGACAAAATTGAACCAAAATGACTGCTGAAAGCGATTTATTATTTCACTATTTAACTTACATAAATGAAATCACCAAAAAAAATCATATTTTATTTTTTTTTATTTCTCGTAGGTAATGCCCTTTTAATACAATGCAATGTTTATTTTTTAGTTCCCACTGCAAAATGAATGATCTTTACCCTTTAGTACTCTCAAGCTCTTTGATTAGAAAGATTGAAACTATTGTCACTTAGATAATAATAACCATATACAGTTATTTGTTGTTGGCCCCAGCAAATCTAACAAGACCCAAATTTTCTATTGCTCTTGATATTAAATGTATTAATTATCCTCTTTTTTGTAGTATTAGATACCAATGATCGTTTCCTAAGAAAAATCACAGTTGGTCAAGGTCCTCTTGAAAAAGGCCATACAAGAGAGGTAGGAAAATACATGTTATGAAATTTGTATCACTCAGATTTAAAGTATTGTAATGTTTTGGGGGTGTAAAGAATCCTTTTGTATAATTATAGTTCCTCTCGCTATAGTTTTCCAATAGTTTTTATATGTCCCTTTAAAACGGTATGTTTTATTTTATACCGCCGTAGCGGAGGGGGCACTAAGTTTTACCCTTGTCCTTCTGTTCATCCATCCGTCTGTCTGTACGTCCCAAAATTGGTTTCCATTCTCTAACTTTAGTTTGACTCTTTACAAATAGAAAAAAAAATTGCTGAATTTTTCGTGTCTGGTCTCTAACTCTAGTTTGCCTCAACCAAATGTTATGAAACTTATACACAATGCTTATTACCACAAAACTCAGATCAAGTTTGAATTTTGTTGGCTTCAAGGGGCATAACTTGCTGAATTTTTCATTTCCATTTTCTTACTTTAGTTTGCCTCAACCAAATGTTATGAAACTTATGCACAATGTTTATTACCACAAAACACAGATCAAGTTTGAATTTTGATGGCATAACTTTTACTGTTCTAGAGTTATGCCCCTTTACAAATGGAAAAATTGCTGAATTTTTCGTTTCCATTCTCTAACTTTAGTTTGACTCAACCAAATGTTATGAAACTTATACACAATGCTTATTACCTCAAAACTCAGATCAAGTTTGAATTTTGTTGGCGTCACTTTTATCGCTCTAGAGTTATGCCCCTTTTCAAGTGGAAAAATTGCTGAATTTTTGTTTCCATTTTCTTACTTTAGTTTGCCTCAACCAAATGTTATGAAACTTATGCACAATGCTTATTACCACAAAACACAGATCAAGTTTGAATTTTGATGGCATAACTTTTACTGTTCTAGAGTTATGCCCCTTTACAAATGGAAAAATTGCTGAATTTTTCGTTTCCATTCTCTAACTTTAGTTTGACTCAACCAAATGTTATGAAACTTATACACAATGCTTATTACCACAAAACTCAGATCAAGTTTGAATTTTGTTGGCGTCACTTTTATCGCTCTAGAGTTATGCCCCTTTTCAAGTGGAAAAATTGCTGAATTTTTCGTTTCCATTTTCTTACTTTAGTTTGCCTCAACCAAATGTTATGAAACTTATGCACAATGCTTATTACCACAAAACACAGATCAAGTTTGAATTTTGGTGGCATAACTTTTAATGTTCTAGAGTTATGCCCCTTTACAAATGGAAAAATTGCTGAATTTTTGTTTCCATTCTCTAACTTTAGTTTGACTCAACCAAATGTTATGAAATCTATACACAATGCTTATTACCACAAAACTCAGATCAAGTTTGAATTTTGTTGGCGTCACTTTTATCGCTCTAGAGTTATGCCCCTTTTCAAGTGGAAAAATTGCTGAATTTTTCGTTTCCATTTTCTTACTTTAGTTTGCCTCAACCAAATGTTATGAAACTTATGCACAATGCTTATTACCACAAAACACAGATCAAGTTTGAATTTTGGTGGCATAACTCTTACTGTTCTAGAGTTATGCCCCTTTACAAATGGAAAAATTGCTGAATTTTTGTTTCCATTCTCTAACTTTAGTTTGCCTCAACCAAATGTTATGAAACTTATGCACAATGCTTATTACCACAAAACACAGATCAAGTTTGAATTTTGGTGGCATAACTTTTACTGTTCTAGAGTTATGCCCCTTTACAAATGGAAAAATTGCTGAATTTTTGTTTCCATTCTCTTACTTTAGTTTGACTCAACCAAATGTTATGAAACTTATACACAATGCTTATTACCACAAAACTCAGATCAAGTTTGAATTTTGTTGGCGTCACTTTTATCGCTCTAGAGTTATGCCCCTTTTCAAGTGGAAAAATTGCTAAATTTTTCGTTTCCATTTTCTTACTTTAGTTTGCCTCAACCAAATGTTATGAAACTTATGCACAATGCTTATTACCACAAAACACAGATCAAGTTTGAATTTTGATGGCATAACTTTCACTGTTCTAGAGTTATGCCCCTTTACAAATGGAAAAATTGCTGAATTTTTCGTTTCCATTCTCTAACTTTAGTTTGCCTCAACCAAATGTTATGAAACTTATACTCAATGTTTATTACCACAAAACTCAGATCAAATACAAATTTGGGTTATGTCGCTTTTACTGTTCTTGAGTTATGTCCCTTTATAATGTTGTATGCAAGCGGGGGCCATCTGTGTCCCATGGACACATTCCCCATTTATTTTTCACATATCGCAACCAACTCTTACTATACCTGGATTGATTTCCTTAAAACCTAAAATTATTGTTGGGATTAATACAAGGAAGCTCCCTTATGATTTTTTGAATTTTCTGCTTTTTTGTTTCAGAGTTACCTGACTTTAATTGTCAAATTTAAGTAAATTTTTCACACGTTGTACCATTTCTTTAGATTGATTTACTGACAACTTTGTATAGTTGTTAGAATTGATAAACTCAACACACTGTTCGAGATAAACTAATTATGGTATGTCATTCCAGAGTTATAGGACTTTAACTGTCATATGAATAATAGGCATTTAAATGTCATGCACTAGCTATAGTATGCTTGCATCAAATTAACACTGTTGTTGGGATTGGCGAATGTATTCTTGATTTGGAATATTATCTGGTTTGCCATTCCAGAGTTATGGGACTTTAATAGTAATAACTGACACAATACTTATATGCTAACAGGTATCCTCATGCATGTTTTTCTACAGTGCCATTTTATTTGCTTCTGATTAAATGCCTTCTAGATATCCCATTTTATTTTTGCAATAATTTCTAGATACACAATAAGGGTGTATCATGAGCTCTTAGCGCAGCTGTTTATTTACTTTGAACCTAGACAGTCTGTTTCCAATTTGTATCAAATTCATTCTACATGGTCTGTAGGTTATAAATGACATTTCGTGCATATTTTGATCTTAATACATAGATGCATATATATATATATATATATATGCAGGTAGGACTATCCTGGCCACAGAGTTTTTAATTAGGTAACATCTGTTCTCAACCAATATGGCTGTTCTTAGATATAATAGAACAAAAGAGTAATACAAGTAAGGACAAGATATGCTTTGGGGTCATGTTGGCCCTAAAATCAAATATATTTCAAATTATCTCGGATTTTCAGAATTAAATTCTTTCATAAAATAATGGTTAAAAATATACATCTATAGCTACCCTTTAAAACACAGCCATGAAATGACTCTCTATTGTTTATATTTCAGTGTTAGTTTGATATTGCAGTAGCCAGTCAGATTGTATCTGTTCTGTTTATATTTTAGTGTCAGTTTGATATAGCAGTAGCAAGTGAGATAATGGCTATATTGGCTTTGACCACTGGATTACGAGACATGAGAGAAAGGCTAGGTAGAATGGTAGTAGCCAGTAGTACTAGTGGTGTCCCTGTCACAGCTGATGATCTGGTTTGTATTTGCTTAACAGATTCTTATATGACACCCTGTTAATGCTTCATGATTTTTTTCTCTCGACTGAGACGTTGATGACGTAAATAATTTGTATAAAGCTTTATATATTTCAGAAGGTAGTAGACCCGAATTATTCATATCTTGAAAACAGATTTCAAAGATAAGTGACCTACATTAAGTTTTCATGGTTAGGTCCATTTTATTGTAAGGTGTACATGTCTGTCTGTCAAGGTTCATCTGAATCTTGACCTTATTTTCATGGCTCATTAATCAAAGCTTAGCTTTAGTGTTTAGGTCTGTTTCTCAGATAGTATAAGCAATAGGACAACTATATATGGTGTATGGAACAATTTAAAGTTGTAAATGTTGGTCTTGCAGGGTTCATCTAGCCTTGACCTCATGGTCCATTGGTCATTGTTTAGTTTTCATGATTAGGTCTGCTTTTCAAATACTATAAGCAATAGGTCAGCTATATTTGGTATTTAGAACTATTGTAACCTCTTGTTCAATTTTGTCATGGATATGATGTATTTATGTGAATGTTGCTATAATACAAAAGAAATTTAGTTTTGACAAATGAAGAGATTTTTGACCAAGTTAGACTAAGTTCAAAATGGGCTTATATATATTTGGGCTGCCAAAGCAGTCGTATTGTCCAGACTTGACCGATAAGTTATAATTATGACTTGTTGTGCTGAACCTGAAAAAGACATTTAGCATTGGTTTGCCATTTTAACATAATTCAGAAAAAAATTGAAGCTTTTGCGATTTTTTTTACCTGACCTTTTTGCCTTAAACAGCCACATTTCCGGTCATAAAAGTGACATGGTGAATAAGTACTATCAAAACAAACCCTACTTTAATACCTTTTCATTACAATCAAGGTTAATTAGTTGACTGACAGTTGGAATTGACATTGATCGGTCTATTTAAAGTTATTTTCATAAATTTCAGCGGTTTGCATCTAATGAATTAAAGTAATATGAAACGAGTTTCTTGAAATTTTAATGTTATCGAAATTATTGAACCAATGCATGCAGATATACTAAACTAAGTCTTGTATGCACGTTTTTATGCCCCACTTAGGGGCATTATGTTTTTTCGGTCCGTTCGTCCGTCTGTCCCGCTTCAGGTTAAAGTTTTTGGTAAAAGTTTTTGGTCAAGGTAGTTTTTGATGAAGTTGATGTCCAATCAACTTGAAACTTAGTACACATGTTCCCTATGATATGATCTTTCTAATTTTAATGCCAAATTAGAGTTTTGACCCCAATTTCACGGTCCACTGAACTTAGAAAATGATAGTGCGAGTGGGGCATCCGTGTACTATGGACACATTCTTATTTACATTTATTTATGAATCTATGAAGTATTATCGACAAATGATATTTCATTCATTGATTGTTGATTGCAAGCTTATTAACTTTCTAGTTTGTTGCTAAAGTTTTCTGCGTCATGACATTGATACACAATAAAAACAGACCACAAGGAAAACGTGACAGATAAGTGAATTGACATTTGTTTTTATACGCCTGTTTATGGGATGTATTATGGTATACTGTTGTATGTTGTCTGTCCATGCGTCGTCAACATGTCAGACAATAACTCAAAAATGCTTTAACCAACTTGCATGAAACTTTGGTGAATTGTTTATATCTATTGACGTGAGCTCCATTTTAATTTTTCTAAATTTTAGATTTTACGTTTCCGAGTTATGGGGTTTTATTCTTTAAAAAAGTGTGATTTTCCAGTTTTTGGACAAGAACTAAAAATACTTTCACCAATTTGCAAGAAACTTTGGCGAATTGTTTATATTTATTGATGTGAGCTCCCTTTCGATTTTTATGAATTTTGGATTTTATTCATTAAAAAAGGGGGATTTTCCAGTTTTCGGACAATAACTCAAAAATGCTTTGAGCAGTTTTCATGAAACTTTGATGAATTGTTTATAGCTATCGACGTAAGCTCCCTTTCGATTTGTATAAATTTTTTATTTTTCGTTTCTGAGTTAAGGGATTTTATTCAGTATAAAGGGGTGATTTTCCAGTTTTAAGACAATAACTCAAAAGTGTTATGAGCAGTTTTCATGAAACTTTGGTGACTGGTTTATATCTATTAAAATAACCTCCCTTTAGTTTTTTTATAAATTTTTAATATGACACTGAGGAGGTATGGAACTTTATTCTTTGAAAAAGCGACGGGTGTATCACTTCTTTTAGAGTAAAACTTAGCCATTCAGGTATATAAAACATATTTAACTTTTTTTTAATTTGATTTAAATTATCAAAAATACGTTTATAAATATGATTTGATGAAAAATTTAATAAGGTAGTTATGAAGGTTTTAGCTGAAAAATGGTCAGAACCACGTGTGGGCAGGTGAGAGATTTAACTCTGCATCCAAATTCTTCAAAAATGCTAAAATTATCATTGAAACCTTTATCTAACGTTCATTACAAGTATTTTCTTGAAGAAATAATGTGGAAAGAGCTACTTAAACTCAATCCTGCGTTGTAAACGTACACTGATTTTACGTATCTGTCTCTGGTTCGTGTTTTGCCATTTTCAAGTCAACATCCGGTATAAGAAAATGTACCTTCAAAAATGAAAGTAAAGTTTTTGACAACGTAATTTTGCACAAATGAAGATTCTAAGGCAGATAGTAGTATGCTAATATTGCACACTTCAAATGATGCAGTCAATCTAACAGTTTATGTCAGAACATCGAATTTGTATCAAAAGTCAAGTTTAATTAAAAAATATTGTTTTTATGTCAATCATTGTTTATATGATGCCCAACTGATTACCATGATTGCCTTTTGTTACCTAGTCTTAAGGGATTAAAATTGGGATAAGACAAAAAATGTCTGGCTGGCACAAATATTTTTTGGAAGCCCTGTTATATATAAATTATGCTGATGTTGGGTGTTTGGAGGTCATGGAAAAGTGTTTACATGTAATCAGCTCCTCCTTCAGTTTTCCACCCAGATACCTGAAACTTCACAGACAGAAAGCACACATGCTGAAGTTGTGCACCTGCTTTCATGGAGTTGTTTGGGGAAGTTAGTAATTTTTCAGCAAAGTTATAAAAGGCGGTACTAATTTTGTTCATTCAACTTTTATAGTTATTAATCTCTTAAACTGAACAGAATGATTTCACATACATTAAAATTATGCACCTGCTATAATTTAATCTCATTTTAAAATTTTTTCCTGACTTGGAAACTTTTTCAGCAAAAATGTTCAAAAAAAGGTAACAAATTTAAGTTTTTAAGCCAATCTATTAAAGTTTGCACATCTTCCATTATGGAGTTGATTAGATATTTTTCCTCATTTTTAGTCCCCTACCGACGAAGTCGAAGGGGACTTTAGGTTTGCACTCCGTCCTGTCTGTCTGTCTTGTCCATCCGTCAGTCCGGCAAATCAGTTTTCCACACTTTTCTTCTTCATGCTTGAAGATATTGATTTGATATTTGGTGTACTGTTTTATCATGACAAGGTACAGATCAAGTTCGAATTTTGTTCCTGTTTGATGATTTTGAGCAGAGTTATGGTCCTTTGACTTAGAAAATTCACTAAAATAATCAGTTTTCCGTTTTTTTTTTGTCATTCTTGAAGATATTTATTTGATAATTGGTCTATAGTTTTATCATGACAAGTTACAGTTCAAGTTTGAATTTTGTTCCGGTCTGATGATTTTGTGCAGAGTTATGGTACTTGGACTTAGAAAATTCACTTAAATAATCAGTTTTCAACACTTTTTTTCGTCATGCTTGAAGATATTGACTTGATATTTGTTATATAGTTTACACCATGACAAGTTATAGATCAATGTAGAATTTTGTTCGAATACAATGAATTTTTAATCAGTAGGGGACTATGTATTGCCATGCAATACTCACAGAATGCTTGTTACATTTTATATTACATCATGTTAAAATGTTCAGTATAGATCATTCTCCATTATTTTAGAAACAATCTGGACAACCCAGCCTTTTGGGTCTTTGATCCTTTTTTTTGTTTCGTTGGAGGGGGGGGGGGGATTTTTTACTTTGAGTTAATGGGGAGACCTGCATTTTTTTCACATTCACTACTTAAATAAACAATAAAAACTTGACATATGTTTTTTTTAAGGTATACGAAAAAAGGTAGGTAGGGAAACCCTAAACACCAATATTTTTTTTTTATTTTGGCCTCAGAATGGCTGCCCCACAGCTCCAACAGTGCTTTGATTATCTAGTTTTATTGATATTTTTTTTTTTGGTTTAAAGGGTGTCAGTGGTGCTTTGACTGTGCTGATGAAGGATGCTGTCAGACCTAATCTTATGCAGACACTTGAGGTAATGTAAATTATTTTAGAGCAAGAATTTTGTGTCAGAATTGTTTTAATTGGAAGTTTGTTTCTTAAAACTCCTGTAGAGCTAAATGACTTAAACATCAAAGATCACTTACAGCTACTAGTTGAGACACTGATATTTGGTTACTTTTGAAAATTAATGAACGAGGTAAAATAAAAATAAGTCAGCCATCATGTTTCATATGCTGCTGAAGTTTTACTGATATGTTTTATTTGTATGCCCCTGCCGTATGCAACAGTGTTACCCTTGACTGTCAGTCTGTCCCTCTTTCCGCCCGTTTCATTTTTGTTTCATCACTCTAACTTAAGTTTGCCTAATGCAAATTTTATGAAACTCATACACAATGCTAAGAACCAACACTAGCAGACAGAGTTCATATTTGGGCAGTGAGTCACTTACAGTTCTATAGTTATGCCCCTTTATAACTTGGAAAATTGCATTTTTTTGTTTCCACACTCTAACTTAAATAATGTCCCATCCAAATTTTAAGAACCACAACATGCAGACAGAGTTCGAATTTGGGTCGTGAGTCATTTACCGTTCTAGAGTTATGCCCCTTTTAACTTGGAAAATTGCAAAGCTTGAGCAGGGGCATTTGTGTCCTCATACACATTCTTCTTTTATTCTATTTTTTTGTATTCATGTTATTGTTATATATTTTAAGTAACTTAATCTATTACTTTACCAGGGAACACCAGTATTTGTGCACGCAGGGCCATTTGCAAACATTGCACATGGAAATTCATCCATCATAGCAGATAAAATTGGATTAAAGTTGGTTGGAGAAGATGGTTTTGTTGGTGAGTGTAGCATTGTTTTTAATTTTTATTTCAAAACAAGGCAGTGTGTCTTTTTCTACAAAAAAAATGGATGAATTGAAGTTAGTAGTAGTGTTTGACAATTTCCTTTATTCCATTGTAGTGTGGGTTTACAATCTATCAAATTCAAAAGCAGAAAATATTAACTCACATACAGACATGTGACTAGGGTTTAAAAACACCCCTCATTCATATATTGAATTTTATGTGAAACAGATTGAACTTTTCAAAATATAAAATAACTAATCTTTTAAGAAACAAAAGTGAATTTGCTTTTGTATCTTATTGGAACTTTGACTTCTGCAAATCTCCCTATCAAAGTTTTCAAACTCTTTGCAACATGGAACTCTTGAAACTGAACGCTGCCGCCCTCTGCTTTCATTTGTCTTTCCACAATTTGTATTTGAAATCTTGTATTTGGTTTCCTGGATGACAGAAAATTCTTCATTAGAAAGCAATTATGTATTTTAGTTGCATGTTAAGTTAACATGGTTTATAACATCTCTTTTATTGAAACTATTTCAAATGAGTTAGATTATAATTGTTTTCTTGTGTTCTTTCTTACTTTTTATTTCTTTGACATAGGTAACTGTGGCTGCAATCTTTCATACCCTAAGTAAGATTGTTACCAGATCCACTTAAAGTATATTTCAAAAAATAGTCAAGTTTCAATCCACTGAGCAATTGTAAAGTGTTTACATACCTGCCAACTTTTCAAAATCTCCATGGGGGATTTTTAGAGCAAGATATCATAATGCTCCTCTTATATTGTCATAAGTGTTTTTAATCTACTACTTTATTGTTAAAATGACTATGTTTGTGCTTAAATATCCTTCCTACTCATTTGAATGCCTGTTTTGGGGTGTTTAGTTTGTATTAAAGGAATTTCAAAATTCAGGTCAACACCATTCATGGGGGAAATCCCCCATAAATCGTGAAGGTTGGCAGGTCTGTAGTTTATATGTTTAAAAGTTTAACACAATTATTTTGTAAAATTTTATTTGGTGACAGCACATGATTTATTTTTTATAACTCATTCAGAGCCTTGTATATATCCTTCGTGCATTTTTTAGCTCACCTGGCCCATGAGCTTTTCTCATTACTTGGCGTCCATCGTCATTGTCATCTGTTAACTTTTACAAAAATATTCTCCTCTGAAACTACTGGGCCAAATTTAACCAAACTTGACCACAATCATTATTCCGGAATTTAGTTTAAGAAATGTGTCCAATGACTCGCCTGCCAACCAAAACATGGCTGCCATGGCTAAAAATAGAACAAAGGGGTAAAATGCAAATTTTGTCTATTATTTTGAAAACTGTTATAAATAGAGAAGATCTGACAGGGGCAGAAATGTTTTTGAATGTTGAGCTCTACAAATTGTCCATATACGTCAAAACTGTCAGACGACTTAAATGACAAATTTTACCATTTTTTTTTCATTTTTGCCTATTATCTTGAAAACTATAATAGATAGAGAGAAACTTCAAACACATATATGATCAGCAAGACAGGTTCTACAAATAAGTCTTAACATGGTCAAAATCGTCAGTTGACTCCTTATTAGAGTTATTGCCTTTTGATGACAATTTTTACCAATATTTTGCATTTTTGCCTGATATCTTAAAATTCTAATAGATAGATAGAAACTGAAAGAAGCAAAAATGATCAGCAAGACAATATCTACAATTAAGACAAATGGAGGAAATCGTCTGATGACTCATTGTTAGAGTTATTGCCCTTTAATGATGATCTTTACCATTTTTTTTGCGTTTTGCCTTATATAATAGATAAATAGACACTTTCAATCACAAAAATTATCAGTAAGGCAAGATCTACTAATAAGTCAAATTTTGCCGATATAGTTAGTAGACTGACTCTTTATAGGAGTGATTGTCCTTAAATGAGGAATTTTTGTACCCTCTATTGTGTTTTAAGCAAAAACTAAAGAAGATAGAGAGAAACTACATGATCAGCAATACAAGATCAACAAAACAGAGATTTTTGTCATGCCAAGGTGAGCGATACAGGCTCTTTAGAGCCTCTAGTTATTTGCTGCCACACATTCACAACAGTCACAATGTAATTTTGCCATAACATTCTTTACAATTCTTACCTTTTTATGCAATCAACACTACGTATGTCTTTCATTTTGCACATAGTAATTTTCAATTTTTTTCGCTTATTCTTTCATTAAAACATAAATTTTATCAAACAATTGACACAAAGGATGTGAGAACTAACGCTAGAAGTCAGTGCAATAATTTGGATCTGTGACCTTTTTTTTTATTTGTATTCCATCATTGTTACATTGTTATTAGATTGGAAGAAATCGATAACATACCTTGTGTCAATAAAATTTCCAGGAGATATTTATGTTTAGGACAAAGTGTAAAAAAAGTGTTGCACAGCATTCACAGACATTTCATCAGAATATAAAATTTATGACCCATGCACATGTGACTTATTTGGCCAATTACAACCTATTGATATATTACCTTGGTGATTTGCACCCAAGTAATATAATTAATACAATGTATATAAAAAACATTATCCATTCCAGCAGCTGTGTATACCTTGTTATCTTACCTCCTATACATTTCTAGTGATATGATTAGTTAAAAGCAACCGCATGGAGACCGTGTATATTTCATATGGGGTTAGTAGGCGTGGTTTATTTCAATACACGGTTAGTAGTGGTGTTATAACCCTTTGTAAAAACAACACGGTGTTTAGGAAAAATCTGAAAGGTTTCAACAGATGAAGAAATTGATGATGAACGATTGAAATAAATTCATAAAACACATTAAAAGCTTACAAGTTGTTATTGTTGGCATTTGTTTTTGTATAGACAAATGGAAGTAGGTTCTTGATATTGAAGACTTGATCACTTTGCTAGGCCACTAGTCTAAATACCACATGTTAAGATAGTCGGTAAGATAAATTTGTTGCACAGTGTGCTAGTGACATAATACGATATATATGGGGTCAGTAAATTGCATATGGGGATTCGAACTTTGCCCTCACCCCATATGCAATTTACTGACCCCATATATAACGTATTAGGTCACTAGCACACTATGTAACTAATAATATGGGAAGATATACCCCAGTATTGAGTATTGGACTGAGAATTCTGAGTAAGGGAATCTGGGTTGGTATATTTCCTAAATTTCATAATAATTCATTTCTCTGCAGTCACTGAATGCGGGTTTGGTGCAGATATTGGTATGGAGAAGTTCTTCAATATAAAATGTCGATACTCCAATTTAATTCCAAATGCTGTGGTGCTAGTTGCTACTATCAGAGCACTGAAAATGCATGGAGGTGGACCTACTGTTACAGCAGGAGTACCTTTACCAAAGGAATATATAGAGGAGGTAATGTTGGGTTTTATAGATAGATATAATCAGTGTAAACTCTATGTGCAGTTGACAAAGGTTTTATATACAAAGGGTTCTTTTTACCATTAGATATTCTTAATGTTAATAGCAAGTCATTTTGGCCAAATAACCTTGTGTGATAATAGATAATTATTTTTTAGACTGTGTTTTTCATCAGAGAGCATCCATACGAATATTGACTGATATATATTTTATTGTGGTCTTTTTCAATGCTACAAATCATATATTTCAGAACTTAGATCTCCTGGAGAAAGGTTGTAGTAATTTGAGAAAACAAATAGAAAATGCCAACAAGTTTGGTGTCCCAGTTGTTGTAGCTGTGAATTCATTTGCGTAAGATATATGCTCAAGCAGTATTAGGTTTTGGGCGATTTCTTTGGGTAAAACAAGAAAGACACCAATCTGTTCATTTAAATATTGCATATGAAAACTCAAATGGATTTCTGAAACAAAGTTTGTAGTGTTAGCAATTTCTTAAAAAGAAATCATTATAAATATTTTTTTTGTTTTCCTTTGATTATATTGAAGGCTTCAAGGACTCAAAATATTATATGAAAATTGCAAAAACTCTTTTTTATTGAAGGCAGCAAGCAACTAATTGCTCTCTATTGATCAGTTTGAGCTGGATATTTTTTATTGGAAATTAAATTTAGATATATTAAATTTTCATTACAGAACATAATTTTAACTCATTCATGAGCTGTTTAAAATTCAAGCTGTGCAGTGAGAGAAAAATAACACATTTGGATCAAAATTATATCATGAAACAATTGGCTAAACACTTAGTAATATTTGTTTAAGACTGATTTATTTTCCATTTCAGTACAGATACACCTGCAGAGGTAGCCTTAGTTCAGAAGTTTTCAAGAGAAAATGGAGCTTTTGATGCTATTAAGTGTAGCCACTTTGCACATGGAGGTCTAGGAGCTGCAGAATTAGCAGAGGCTGTTAGTAAAGCTACTCAGCAACCTAGTGACTTTAAGTTCCTGTATAGTGTTGAGGTAAGGGTCATATAAATTCTATGTTAGTATGAATACAAAATTAGAATGTTCTGTGTGAAGAAAATTACACTACAGGGAGTCGGAAAGAAATATGTAAAATATTATTAGGGACCCTCATGGAGGATGTGGAAGTCCTATAGTTTTGGCTTTGTATGTCTGTCCATCAACAATGTTATTTGTTTCTGTGTCTCACTCAAAAATGTGCAAGCAGCTCCCTAGCTGACACGCCTCCGAAAAATTTGACTCCATGTGCCCTTTTGCGTTATCTGGATCGAGATCTGGTCGTGGAATTGGGTTTTTTGCTGATCGAATGGTGACAACCACAATGAAGCATTGACTAAAGTTGGTTGCATGTTATTTCATGAAGACAATTTTTATCACTTCGGCGAGACTCGAGAGTGTACATTGTACATCAAATCATTCTAACTTTCGGCAAAATAAGTTTGTTACTTCATTATATAAGAACTTGATGAAAGTTGCCTGAAGTAAATTTGTAATCCATTTATTGCATTAAAAACGTCATATTCCTTTCCAAGTTGCGTGCCAAACATCGTTTATTTTTGTAAATTTTCTTTGTCTGCCATTGAAATATTTGTATGAACTACAGATCGGAGTCGGGATTCATCGGAAACGGACCAGCTTGAACAAAATCCTGATTCGTAGGATAATGATTACGGACTCATGAATGGCAAAGCTGACAGAAGAATATTGATCCCAAAAAGAAAAATGAAATTATGTATTCCACACGCATTAACATACTTTTGGTTAGATCTACTTGATTTATGTATATGCATAGTTTCAAATTTATTTATTATAGTTGCTCAACTCTGGGACTATTGTACTAATATCATTATATTATGTCCCAGCTTAACCTTGTTAAATTTATATATCTTTTTAATGAGAAACACTGAATTTCATAAACATGACAACAGAGTAGTTTTTTTTTTTTTTTGAATTTTAATTGATATAACATCTTTCTTTTCCTTTTTAGCTCACCTGGCCCAAAGGGCCAAGTGAGCTTTTCTCATCACTTGGTGTCACTCGGCGTTACCTTTTTACATTTTGAACTTCTTCTAGAGAACCACTGAATGGAATGAAACCAAACATGGCATGAATGTTCCTTATGAGGTGCTGACCAAGTGTTGTTACTTTGTAGCGGATCCATCATCCAAGATGGCCGCCAGCGGGGGACTTAGTTTAACATAGGACCCTATGGGAAATACATACAAATGTTTTCTTTTAGAGAACCACTGAATGGAATGAAACCAAACATGGCATGAATGTTTCTTATGAGGTGCTGACGGAGTGTTGTTACTTTGAAGCCGATCCATAATCCAAGATGGCCGCCAGCGGGGGACTTAGTTTAACATGGGACCCTATGGGAAATACATACAAATGTCTTCTTTTAGAGAACCACTGAATGGAATGAAACCAAACATGGCATGAATGTTCCTCATGAGGTGCTGACCAAGTGTTGTTACTATGAAGCTGATCCATAATCCAAGATGGCCGCCAGCAGGGGACTTAGTTTAACATTGGACCCTATGGGAAATACATACAAATGTCTTCTTTTAGAGAACCACTGAATGGAATGAAACCAAACATGGCATGAATGTTTCTTATGAGGTGCTGACCAAGTGTTGTTACTTTGAAGCCGATCCATAATCCAAGATGGCCGCCAGCGGGGGACTTAGTTTAACATGGGACCCTATGGGAAATACATACAAACGTCTTCTTTTAGAGAACCACTGAATGGAATGAAACCAAACATGGCAAGAATGTTCCTTATGAGGTGCTGACCAAGTGTTGTTACTTTGAAGCCGATCCATAATCCAAGATGGCTGCCTGCAGGGGACTTAGTTTAACATAGGACCCTATGAGAAATACGTACAAATGTTTTCTTTTAGAGAACCACTGAATGGAATGAAACCAAACATGGCAAGAATGTTCCTTATGAGGTGCTGACCAAGTGTTGTTACTTTGAAGCCGATCCATAATCCAAGATGGCTGCCTGCAGGGGACTTAGTTTAACATAGGACCCTATGAGAAATACGTACAAATGTTTTCTTTTAGAGAACCATTGAATGGAATGAAACCAAACATGGCATGCATGTTCCTTTTGAGGTGCTGACCAAGTGTTGTTACTTTGAAGCTGATCCTTCATCCATGATGGCTGCCAGATGGGGACAATGTTTAACAAAGGACCCTATGGACAATACATACAAATGTCTTCTTTTAGAGAACCACATACTGAATGGATTGAAACCAAACATGGCATGAATGTTCCTTATGAGGTGCTGACTAAGTTTTGTTACTTTGAAGCTGATCCTTCATCCATGATGGCCGCCAATGGGGGGACTTCCTTTAACATAAGATCCTATGGGAAATACATACAAATGCTTCTTCTAGAGGTGCACTGAATGGAATGAAACCAAAACATGGCATAAATGTTTCTTATGAGGTGCTGATTAAGTGTTGCTACTTTGTTGCCGATTTACTGTTCAAGATGGCCACCAGGATTTTTTTATTAAATTACAGGGCCAATATTAAACCAAATTTGGCCTCACTCATTATTAGGGTACCTGTTATGATTTTAATCTATTTTTACATGATTTCCAAAACCAAAGTAGAATCAGGTGAGCGACACAGGCTCTTGAGAGCCTCTAGTTTTATTATACTCCCGTTTACTCAACTTATTATGGTGTACCATTGTCCGTCCGTCTGTTGTCAACACTTCTGACAATAACTAAAAAGCGCTTTCACCAATTTTCATGAAACTTTGGTGAATAGTTTATATCTATTGACGTAAAATCCCTTTCGATTATTAATAATTTCTGATTTTATGTTTTGGGAGATTTTCCACTTTTCTGACTATCACTCAAAAATGCTAAGAGCAATTTTCATGAAACATTGGTGAATTGTTTATATATATTGACTTAAGTTCTCTTTGATTTTTAATAATTTCTGATTTTATGTTTTGGAGTATCAGGACATTATCCATAAAAAAGGGGGGATTATCCAGTTTTCGAACTTTAACTCAAAAACGCTTTGATTAGTTTTCATGAAACATTGGTGACTTGTTTATATCTATTGAAATAAGCTCCCTTTTGTTTTTTTTAAATTTCTGATATATCATAGCATAGTTATAGAACTTTATTTGCTGAAAACTGTCCATTTTTCACACTTTGGATGGTTATAGAAGTTTATTCGTTCAAAAATTGAGGCCACAATTTTAGTTAAACTTGAGGTAGCCTGTTTTGTGTTAATGGGTACTACTGTGTGTGCATGTCATTTTTTTTAGGGGGGGAGGGTCTATTTGAGCAGTGCTCACAGTATTTCTAGTTGATCATATACATTCATTTTAAGCATAAAGACAAGCTTAAAGGGCAACTGGCGTATCATGCGCTCATTTACAGCTCTTTATTAATCTCTGTTAAAGTAAAACACTGCTACCACTTTCTGGTTTAGTGACAGTGATTTTTTTAAAGGAAGGAAAGTTTAGGGTGTGATTAATTGTATTTTTAATCCTTAATCATAATTGTATCATTGGTTACTTTTTAGCTCATCCCGGCCCGAAGGGCCCCATGTGAGCTTATGCCATCACTTGGCGTCCGTCGTCTGTCGTCATAAACTATTTAAAAAATCTTCTCCTCTGAAACTACTGGGCCAAATACCTTCAAACTTTAACTAAATGTTCCTTAGGGTATCTAGTTTATAAATTGTATCTGAAGTTTTGATCCATCGACAAACATGGCCGCCATGGCTAAAAATAGAACATAGGGGTCAAATGCAGTTTTTATACGACCGCAAAAAAATTTTGTGGTCGTATATTGGTATGACGTTGGCGTCGTCGTTGTCGTCGTCCGGCGTCGTCGTCCGAAGACACATTGGTTTTCGCACTCTAACTTTAGTTTAAGTGAATGGATCTTTTTGAAATTTGACCATAAGGTTAAATACCACAAAAGGAAGGTTGGGATTGATTTTGGGGGTTATGGTACCAACAGTTAAGGAATTAGGGGCCAAAAAGGGGCCAAAAATAAGCATTTTCTAGTTTCCAGACAATAACTGTGGAACGGTGTATGGATCTCTCTGAAATTATACTACAAGTTTCCATACCACAAAGGGATGGTTAGGATTTGCTTTGGGGGGTTATGGCTCAAACCATTTAGGAATTAGGGGCAAAAAAGGGGAAAAACAAGGTTGTCCTGGTTAATGGACAAATACTTTAATACAAAACATAATTTAAAGCAGTGTAAGGGAGATAAATCAAATACATCATTGAAATTATCTCCCTTACACTGCTTTTAAATTATGTATAAAGTAATGGTTAATGAACAATAAAGATAATTTAAAACAGTGTAAGGGAGGTAATCCAAATACAACGTTTTGGTTACTTCCCTTACACTGCTTTTAAATTATGTTTAAAGAAATGCATATTTATAAAGGAAGACCAGTAAAAATATCTGCAAATGTTTACACAAATGTATTACTCAAAAATCCATATGAACGATTTGACACTATATTTTTAATTCTATTATAAAATAGATTAAGTTAGCACTATGGTAAATTTACCGTAGAAAGGCTTGTATAGTCCGCGGTTTTATTCTCCAAAATTGGACCTTCCAGACGGGGTGTGGACTATAGAGTACAATAAGCAAGAAATAAGAGAAAAATTTCAATTTCGCGGTCGAGGTGGTTTGTTTACGTTCCGCCATCTTTGTTATTTCTATTGTAGAGGGCGCTCTTATCATTTTTCAAACTAATAATTTTAACTCATCCATATTAATAAGTTATTTCTATTCAATATCAAATTAATACTGATAAATATAAAAACTAAACCTTTCATTATAAATTTCTCGTTTCTTTTCAATGCATTGGTTGAAATAAACTGGTATCTGCTCGATTGAAACGATACAAACATAGTGAAAAAGACAACCGTAAACCAGCTTAGAATTTGTAAACTACAAAACGAAATCGGTTATTGTTCGTTCCGTTTTGGT